ATAGAATGCTGTGAAGGACTTTGGAATACCTAAGAAGTTAATTACCATGATCAAACTATGTATGGAAGATACTTGTAATATATAAAGGCAGAAAGTCAGACTCTTTTCAAATAAAATCTGGTTTAAAGCAAGGTGATGCTCTATCCCCATTTCTTTTCAACTTGGCCCTGGAGAAAGTTATATGGAAATTGAAACAAGAGTGTACTATAGAATAAACTACAAGAATACTTGGATATGCTGGTGACATTGATATCGTTAGAGAAAATGAACTAGAGACTGTTAAAACACTGACTGTCTTAAAAGAATCAGCTCAGATAATGGGACTAGTTATCAATCAAGATAAGACAGAATACATGATAATAACTAGACAGGGAAAGGATATAAACTCCGGCAACATTCTATAATATAATTCTATAACTTGGGTGCAAACTTCAGCTGCTCCAACATGCTGCGAGAAGAAAAACAATCTAGAATACAATCTGGAAATAAAGTATACTCTGCCCTTCAACATCTGCTAAAGTCAAAGGATCTGTCTCGCAACATCAAGATCAAAATATATAAAACGATGATTAGACCAGTCGTGTTATATGGCTCTGAAACTTTAAACACAACTAAAAGAGATGAAGCCTTATTACAGGTTTTCAAAAAAAAAGAGTTTTACGGCGAATCTTTGGACCCATCAAAGATGCGAACAGCGGTGAATAGAGAGTGAGAAGAAACAACGAATTCATAATCTGTTTAAATCACCACTGGTCACTGGCATCATGAGAGCTGATAGACTTAAATGGTTGGGACATATTGAAAGAATGTCAGATGACAGAGAAGTAAAAACTGTATACGCCAGAGAGATTAATCTTCGTAGACCACGAGGCAGACCAAGAAGACGATTGAAAGATAATATCCAGACAGACCTGCAAACACTTGGTGTCACCAATTGGAAAGAGAGGGCGAACCAGAGAGATGAATGGAGGCGGGTGATATCTGCAGCAATGAACCTCAAGGGCTTGGAATGCTGCAGAAGAAGAAGAATACAGAATGTGTCTGCAAAACCACATAAATTATATTACCTAATTCTCTGAAGGCTCTAGTAAAAGAAAATTGCATATGTAAACCTTTCTTCAGGGGTCCCGGGTAGTTAGCTTCCTTTGGATATTCTCTCCAGATCTTGCCGGTGTGTTGGGAAATAAGCAGACAGATAGACTGGCCGGTTCTGCACCACTTGGTGGTGAACTGATGTATGACAAGCTAGAAGTGTGGACCCTCTGGGAGCGAGAGAACAGTAGGGAAGCGCAAATAGATAATTAGGGTCTGAGGAGAATGGCCCTGCGAGGAGTTGTCAGGGAAAGGCGAGACAGATAATCAGACAATCAGAGTTACTGGTGTTATCGGAATCGGAACTCTTAGTTTGCTGCTGAAGATGGGGACGGAGAGCTTATGTGAGTGTCCCGAGCGCTATGATGTCGATTCTTAATTCAACATTCAATGCATTAGTAAACCAAAACTGAAATTTGCTGAGGCCCTTGTAGATCGTGAGGCCGTAAACTGCAGTTTAGTTAGCTTATGCATAAATCCAGCATATAATGACACAGTAGGACGATGCCCATGTGTCACCGGGGCCCTCACTGGAAGCAAAGAATAGTAATACTGCACCCTACAAACATGTCGTAAGAGGCGACTAAGGGTATGGCTGGCTTGAGGTTGGCTACCTCAAGAAAAAAACAATAGTAACAAAAACCAACCAATCATGGAGAAGTCAAAAAAAAAGAAACAAGAAAAACGCAGCCGGCCAGGATGAGGGAGGGCTCTTCTGGTAGAAGAAATATGACACGATGTGGAGAAAGCTGAAAGGCAGCTACAGAGCGACGTTAAAACGATGGGGAGGATATGGGGGAGAGCCGCCTGCAATAGCAAAGGGCAGAACAAGTTGGCGTGAGTTGGTTGAGGGCCTATGATCCATTGGGGGTTGTAAAGGCAGCAGCAGAAAAAGAAAAGAATGAATGAACAAATGCATTTTTTTTTTCAAAGAGTCACAAAGTGGGCACATTCGGTTCTTCCAAACACCCATCTTTCACACAGCAGTTGTATTTTATCAATAAAGAATTAATAATATGCATATTATGAATATCGTTTCAAAAAAGCATGGGTGGTAAAATGCATGCACACACTCGCGTGCACACACACATACATACGCTCACATACACCCCCCCCCCCACCACCACCTCACGTACACACACACACACCGGCATACAAACAAACAAACACACACCCACCCGCACGCACGCACACACACACACACATACACGCCCGCACGCACAAACACGCACGCATGCACACACACACGGGGGGGGGGGGGGGGGTGGAAGGCAGAAGAAGAAGAATGTGCTATAAACCGTTTGAATGTAACAGCTTTATTGTACGTTGCTTCATTTATTTCTGTCAGCAATATTAAAACACACTCAGCAATATTAAAACACACTGACAGCTTTCTCTGCCGGTCCCGACTCCCGAGTTCTCTCACCAATAACAAAGTAAGCGACTTCTAAGGTAGCCAGACGTGACCCATTAACCTAAATTGTGGCAGCTTCAGAGACATTGTCACCGAAGGTGGGGCTTAGTTTTAATGGTGCACGCAGGGTCGACTTAACGCATGGGCCCGGTGGGGACTTACCAGGGGGCATCATCATTGCATTATACCTTATGCATTTCAGTACATGTAACGAACTCGGGCCCAGCTCCGCGAATCTACACGCTTATGATTGGCGGAGTCTCGCCAGGACACTGTGACTAAACGTTCAGTCTTTGGCTTGACCTCCGAGACAGGGACGTCAGCTTGGTCGACGCTCCTACCAGCGACCACGCGTGCTCTATATTACAGAATGTGAGGGTCTATAACGACCCCATAACATGTACCACTGGCCCTAACCCCAACCCCCACTTCCCCACACACTGAACCTAGATTCCACGAGAGATTGTAATCTACAGCAGTAAACCGGGACACCCCTGTAGCCTTAAGCAAACTGGGCTAGCCTGACCAAGCATCAATGAAAGGTGACCTAGTATGTAAAGAGGTGGAGCTTGGCCTGAGTCCGTAACTAGTTCCTGCATGTAAAGTGACTTGCCATATAAGACGTTCGTGGTATTATCATAAGGTAAGTTGCGTATCCTTTACAGGACGTTGCAGAACCAACCCCAATCGCCACTGACTGCTGTGTGGTTTTTCTAGGCAATTTAAGTCCAGTAGTTTGCCATTGCTTCTGGACGGTCGGCTTTTTTGATACCACTGTCGAAACCAACGCACGGCGCATGGCCCGCAGTTGGGGTCGAACTAGGCATCCCAGCATACTGTGTCATCTAATCCGTGTTTATGTTTTAACACCAGTTTTGCTTTAGTGCCAACAAAATAAATACGTATTTATTTATACATTATCAATCAGTTACTTTTCATTCTTTAGAGCAGTTATAGAAAGGGCCCCAGCACAAGGGTTTGCCTAGGACCCATATTGCTGTTAAGACGGCTCTGGGTGCTCGGTTATTAATTTACACCCTTCTTCTGGGGAAACGTTGATCAATCCAAGCATAGATGGCTTGTCGCGTTAATCGGCGGACATTCCTAGAATAGCACCAGTGCTGTCCTTTTCATTAATGGTTGCATTATGATACAAAATAATGTTGTGCAATAAACAATTAGGGAAGCTGTCGTGGTCTAGCGTCTAGACGCTCACCTGCGGATTGAAAGGTCGTAGGTTCGGTTTCTTGAGTAGGTACCAGGTACAGTCCCAGGAAGTAAAGGCGACCGGTGTGATGCTGACCACATCACCCACCAACTGTCGTTTGGTCTGTAAAATTTAGGTCTAGCCCTATATAGCTAACTTGCCTGAAGGCGTGAAAAATGGTCCTTCACTTTACTTACTAAACAGTTAAATACAGATGTTCTGAAGACACTTGGAATGAACAGAGGGTGTGTAAAGAAATAATCAAAAAACAGTTTTAAACAGTTTGGCCACATCAAAAACCGTCTTTTAAAAAACCTAATGAATGCGTCCAGAAGTGACATCATTGCAATCGCGACCTTCCCACACGTGCTTGGCCCTCCCCTTCAGTAGAGTTGTGTGCTAACTGAGCTACAACTAGCCAGCACACTACCAAAGGTCCAGCAAGTACACTTTCGCTTCTTCTCTTAGAAACAGAACTCGACGACAATGACTCCGTCATACATTTTATTCAACAGGTTACGTGACACAACTGCAGAGACGTAGCAATTGTTCCCAAATGACATTCGCCCGTAGTCCATTTAGTCATCACTCACTCTCTCTCTCCCTTGTAGCGGCCTTTCCTTGACCCCTACAGCTCCAAAGGCCTACAGCGTCCACAACTCTGGCACTCCGTACAGTTGAATAAGACAAATTCTCCTATCCACTGGACCTTAATATTATTTCAGCAGACAGCCACAGCTGACTGGAGACGGACTTCCTTGCCGTACTCCAAAGGCACACAGCTCTTGTCAGCCTGTCGAAGGGCTCCGATGACTTCTAACGTAAGTCCCCATTAGCACACAGCTCTCGTCGGCATCCTCCACTGTCCTGTTTCCGTTGTGACTCTACGTCTTCTTGCGTCGTCACCCAGAACAGTTACTATTGGAGCATCCCGTCCCCTTGGACTTACTTCGGCATCGGAACTATACCTTCGACCAGTACCGCAACCTCAACACTTACTCAGACCTTAATGCCTGATAGTCGTACAGTACTCTTGTCTGTTATACTCGAGAGAGAGAATCACTGACCCTGACTTGGTCTCTCTCTATCTCTCTCTCTCTCTCTCTTTCTCTCTCTCTCTCTTCGACTCTGACTGACTACTCAGCCCCAATTTATCCCAGTCGAACTCGTAGGTTACACGTGTGGGTGTTCTCGAGAAACATGCTCATGTGGGTTTTCTCGAGACTCACGCTCAAGGGAGCGTTCTCGAGGATCACACTTATGTGAGTGGCTGATGTTACATGAGAATCACGCTATCACGTAATACACCCTTTCTCTGTGATTCTCATTATCCATGCTTGTCAGCCCCCACACAGTAGCACTTTTTTTTTCCATAAAACTTAATGCAATAGAACTGGCATTAGAAGCAATTCGAGGCCACAAATCTGCACACTCTTTGGCAACCGGGCCTGTAATTGCTGAACCTTTCACCTCGCCTTCAGGATTCACAAATGACACCCGCATTATCTTCAAAATAGAGAAACAATCCATCCTTTCTTCTTAGGGGTTTTCTCTGACGTATAACCACAGCTGGCATAACTTTTTTTTCTTAACTCTGGCTATCCTTTCTTCACCGTGGCAACGAACATGTCTTCAATACCAGCAGCTGGCAGCCTATTGAGGCGACCCTTGATCCCGTGGACGGCAATAACAAACAGGTTCTTGGCACCTGTAATGTCAGCACAGTTGATGACTGCTACGACTGGCAGACCCAGGGAGATGCGGAATTTTCCTCCGGCTGAACCACCACGTCCTCTCTTTGGTAACCCACGCATCTGCTTCCCCGTGCGTGCACGCCTTGTGCATGATAATCCATTTTCACTCGTCAACATTCTCTCCTCTCAATACTCGGCCCATGTTGACATTATTCCCCCCCCCCCACCCACCCCCTCCCTCCCCGTGAACTCACAGAATGCCACTTTGTCCCTTCACACAATATCACACTCTCCCAAATCAGCACGCAACATAGTAGCCGATAAAGAGTCGACAGCTAACAGTACCAGTTACGTGGCGAAGTGGGCGATCCGTTTTCCTTGCGTTCTGAAGGATGTGGGTCCGTTTCAAGGCGGCACCGTTCAATTCGAGCGTGCGATTTTTACGGAGATCCATGGGGCTAATCGCTGAGGCTACGGAGTTCGTGCTTTGTGCGACGCTTTAGGCAAACAGCTAGATGTTCTGCGGAAAGAGACTGGGCTATATGGAAATAAATCCGGTGCATTGACGTCGATCTTCTCGCCTTGACCTTTTATTAGTTACAATCTGATTAAAAGAGTGTACTACCACGATAAGAGACACAGCGTTGGAGATTCACTGCAGTCAAACCTTCATTGACGGGCATTAATGGACTTTTTTCAAATGAGCAGATTAGTGAGAAATGCAGTCAACAACACAATCTGAAAATAAGGTACATAATGCCCTACAACATCTACTAAAACCAAATGCTCCATATCCCAGTTCTAAGATCATATTATATAAAGGCCAAGATAAGACCGGTTGTTCCACATGACTCTGAAACCTAGACAACAACTAAAAAAGGCGGGACTACAAACTTTTGAGAATCTTGTTATTCAAAACAATGTTTTCCCGTAATTCATTAAAAAAAAATGCGGATAAAAATGTACTAGGGGGGAGAAACCCTACTACTAAGAATTAAAAAAGATAGGAAAATAGAATAGGATAGTTCGTTTAGGTGGGGGCTAGAAACAATAATATTCTAGTCCAGGCAAGAGATCTTCTGTGTAAAGTCTAATATAGCCCAGGTAACGAATAAAATAAACTAAAAACATATGAAACAAACTAGGAAACTAACTACTAAAAGTCCTAAGCTGAAGGAAACAACTGTAACTATGAATACAACGTTGAACATAATTTTTATTTAACTTCACATCAGCATGGCCAAAAGTAACGACATAAACGACCACGTGCTGGAACAAAACCTCAAACATACAGCAATCTACCATCTAACTATTTCTTGTCTAGAATACAAGTGAAAATCTATTTTAACCAACTAACCACTGAACGTACCCTCGACTGCCATCAGTCCGACCACGAACGTTACCTGTGGTCGCCATGCCTATAGACCGGCCTATTGTGCAAAGCATCAGTCTGCTAGGTTTGCTTCCACAGGTTGGTCCGGAAGTCGAATCAGCTTGAAACTGTCAGTCGGCCGTTTAAATACCCCGTGGGCTGATTTTTTCCCATCTTCCGGTCAAATTTATTAGTTAGTTCCGGTGGCCTTTTAACCATTTTAAAACCAGAATAAATCAAAGATCTTTAATCTGCTGCACTGTAGTATTCGTCGCTTCCACCCTACTACAAAAACAATTTATTGCCAGGCATATTTCGCTGTATCGCATCAGGTGCGTTACTACAGAGTTATATCAACATAAAATAAAGCACAAAAACAGAATAAATTCAACTGAAATGCAAATAGTTTCTTCGACAATGTATCGAAGTATGCCTGGCAAAAAAATTGTTTGTATCCGCATTATTTAAAATCGTGTTATTATTAACTTTTAAGAACAGTGTTAGACGAATCTGTGAAAAGATGCAAATATCGGAGAACGGATAGTAGCAAAAGCAGTCATGAAATTTATAATTAGTTTAAATCACAATCTGCCATTGTCACCACGAAGGCAAATAGAATGCAATGGTGGAGAGAAAAGCAGATAACATAGACAGAGAAAAACTGCGTACACACAGGATTTGAACGGAAATAAACTACACCCAAGCACACCGTGGAGAGATAATTTACATACAGACAGACCAAACACTTAGCGTTACCAACTGGAAAAAAGAGGGTCAATCACATAGAGACGGAGATGGGTAGAGACTGGTGAAATCTGCACTAATGGACCTCAAGGACTCAGAGTGCCGAAGAAACAGAAGATGTGCAGTTAGAATGATCGGTCAACTAACTAACTATTGCTACTTGCAACACCAACAAAATTAGCATGGCTAACATAAGTGAGACAGGAATTAAAGCAAATCTTTTCGGCGAATACCTACTGGACAGCCGTTAAGCAGACTCCCTCCCAAATGTTGTGTCACAGATGAATGTTTGGAAGAGCCCAGTGTGAAATGTTCTTGCCTGATTTGAAAGCCTCTGAAAATAACATTGGTTCACCCCCCCCCCCCCCCGCCTTTTTTTCCCCCAAACGCCTGTTTTCTTCTGTTTATTTTCTCAACTACAACTGGCGCCGGGAACGAGGCAACGAAAAATAAATTGGATTGTCGGAAAACAAAACCAAGATGTCGATGCGATCGTCGCAGGAGCTATGTCGTTCGTGCTTTGTGGGACACCCTTTAATAAACACACTCACGTATTCGAATGCAACGTTGGGTCAAAATTTGAAAGCAGTCGGTGAAGAACTGTCGACACGCAGCTTCATGGACATTTCTGAAGCCAACAGTCAGAGTTCGACTACCAGCGGAAGTAAAAACCCGCACCGGAAATGCGGCAACGAAACAAAAACCGATGTGATCGTCGCTGGAGCTTTGTTGTTCGCGCTCTGGGCGACACTGTTATATAAAAACACGTGCGTATTCAGCGACGTCCGTAGCTTACTCGTTGCGAGTCTGACTCATAATTCCAACGTACAGCGATCAAAACTCACTGCTGGCTGCGTGGATTGTTATCATGGTAAGGGGCGCCGCAGGTCGACCCAGCCTAAAATGGGTACCAGGATGGCTGTACTGTGGAAGTAAAGACGGCCGATGTAATGCTGACCACATTATTCACCTAGAGCCGATTGGTCTGTAAAAATATGGGTGCTCTTCCTGTATGTCCGATGCGCCTAAAGGCGTGAAAATGGATCTTTACCTTACTTTACTTACTTACGCGCGTATTCTAAGGCAACGTTGTGTCACAATTTGAAAGCAATCGGTGAAGAACTTTCGGAGATTAGCTATTAATTACAAACGAAAATTTACATTTGTATTTATATAGAAGATAGCCTGGCCTAGTGAAAGCCAATACCTCTTTCACCTCACCAAGAGGACCCCCAGTGTGTGATTACTGATCACTAAGAGGTCTGTTCATTTAGGCATATGTGGAAGGTGTGTTTGAGAAATGTCGATCGTTTTATATTTAGGACGAAATGTATGCCAACAAGAAAGCTGGCTGACACACAGAAAGCTGCAAGGTGAATAATTAGGAAAGTAAACAGCACAGTTGTCATTTAAACACACAGGCCCGTTACAAAAGCAACATGTATGCCTATAACATTAACTCATGCGTTCAAGAGATTAGGCCTTTGCCTACAGGAACATAAATTAAGTTATACACGTGAGAAAAAGGTTTCTTGAGATTAACGGCTAACAGCGGTCTTCACGTGCTAGCCGCTGAAATGAAGGCTAACCCCAGGGCTGCCAACGATGGGTTTTCACTCCCAGATCTGGGTTTTTATTTGATGCCTTGGGTTCACATTTTGAAATTGGAAAAAGAGGGGGGAGGGGGGTAAATATCCTTTAATGAAAGTGGGTAAAGGTTTTTTTTCGTACTTTTTAACAATCTGGGTTTTTTTATTTTGTGTTTTGTTCTTTGCTTATGTATTGTATTGCTTGAGATTTTGTTAGTTTTGCTAGGTTTTCAAAAAAAAATCTTATTGGCAACCCTGGTTAACCCGTGTCCAGTTAGTGCCTCTCGGTCGATGAGACAGAGCGGACATGTGCGGGCGTGTGTGACCGCTAATTGTAATTGTGCGTACTATTTTATGCTGTTGGAGAGTTTGGACTCTTCACTGAGATTTGATATATAATTCTGAATGCTCCAGTTGAGTGTATTTAGTGGAGACAAGGCGTTGAGAGCCTAATACTGCTGAGAGGAACCGTCCCACTGCACGGACGTGAAAGAAAGTTCTCTTCGGTGTTCTGACTTGCGACTGTGTCGGGGACACTCGGTGAATGGAGGAGTCTTTAGTCCATAACATAATTATATCGCCGGCTGGTGACAACAACAAGTAAAATACGTGTTGGTGGCCGCTCACTGTGATACCCCCGCAACATAGGACAGGCCCTGCAACACGACGAGACATGAGTGACTACGGAAGTCGTCAGACTCTTTCTGGACCGGAAAATATCACTATGATCCATTTTTTTCCCTCCTTCTTCTTCTTCTTCTTTTTCTTCTTTTTCTTCTTCTTCTTCTTCTTCTTCTTCTTCTTCTTCTTCTTCTTCTTCTTCCTACTCTTCCACTTCATCATCATCATCTGCCAGATATGAATTCCGGACAGAAAATCCTGTTTATTCGTCTCCATTCTGGACTTTGATCTTACTACGCGACTTGAGTGTTGCGTTCACATTCGTTATACAGAAAATCGCTTACTTGAATGCAAACCGTCTCTCAGGCAGATGCGCTCCAACTTCGAATGAAAAAATTTAATCAAAGTTATCCAGGCACCTGGAACACGTTCCTGTGGCAACCGTGGAGAGGTGTAAATAAGGAGCCGCGTTAGCGCAGTCGATACGAGGCTCGCTTTCAAATCCAGCCGCGACTCGCTGCAGCCACGGTCGATTCGAAACCGGGCGATTCCCGGGGTTCACCCAGCCTCTTGGAAATAGGTACCAGAGTGACACACTGGGGTAAATGGAGGAACGTCGCTGTAGCTACAGAGTTACGTGCGGACAGCGACACAGGCGGACAGTTTCTTTTCAGCTGGTGGCAGAGCACTTATGGTTTATAACCGTGTGCAATGACACTGGTTCACATCTCCCGACTTTACCTTACCTTACCTTGACTAATTTGAGTCCTGGCACA